TAATAATAATAATAATAATAATAATAATAATAATAATAATAATAATACTTCTTTATTTGTGGTCACAGACCAAAACACAAGTACAACAAAAGAACAACATGGGAAAATTAGTCATGAATAATTGGTCACCAAAAACTTGACTAAGGGGAATTACAGCGTTCTCCTCTCATGGTTACAGCTCTTAAAAAAAATTGGAAACCTGAGAAGTGATGTATAAGGAGCCATCCCCTAGACAATGTAAGAACAAATCACTAACATTGGGTCTGGAAGGGTCTGTTTCAAGGACAGAAACTTAGATCTGCCTGCGTTATACATAGGGCAATATAAAAGGACATGCTCCACAGTTTCAACCTCAGCTCTGTCACAGGGGCATAGCCGCTCGTTAATCGGGAGCCTCTTAAATCGCCTATCCAGTAGTGCTGAGGGCAAGACATTAAAGTGAGCTAGGGAGAGAGCTCTTCTATACTTGGGAATGGTTAGAGTGTAAAAATAGGAAGCCATCCTCAGTCCGTAATTATTAAATTGGCTGAAGATCAGTGGGGAGCAAGTTTTGTTAGCTCTGGCTTGTAGATATTGCCAGTCAATGTTCTTTTAATATGTAATTTCAAGATCTTTTCCTCAGAATACTGTGTATCTAAAAATTGAAATATTGCGATGTACAGCTTACTCGGTATTATGAATTAAATGACATGTGCCAGGTGATTTTAGCTGTTATAATTTATCCAAACTGTAGTAATATTGGAAATGAATGTCAATGTTCAGACAAAATAATGTTCAGGAATTTTTAAGAACCTATATTATAAATGATACGAGAGTGCAATCTGTTCATATAGTATGCACAAACTTACCTCTGCTCCAGAAGCTTAGACTGGAAGAAATGGTAGGCGAAAGAAAATATTGAAATATGATGGTTTTCTACTTATTTTCATCTAAATGGATTGAGTTTCTTATATAAAGAAACATATAGGGAAGAACTATCTATACAGGTAATCCTCAACTTAAGAACATTCATTTAGCAGTTTTAAATCATGTTTTTCAGTGCTGCTATTAATTATCAATAATAGTTCTGAAAAACATGATTTAAGATCAGTCCTTTTTTTTAGGACTATTGCAATGTCCCTGCAATCATCTGATTACCCTTTGGGCACTGGGATGTATTTATGACAGTCATAACATCCTAGTATGTGTGATTGCTCTGCAGCCTTCCCAGCTGGCTTCCAACAAGCAAAGTGAATGGGGGAAATTGGATTCACTTAATGACAGTGGCAAAAAAGGTTGTAAAGTTTGTCAAGGTCATGTGATGATTCACTTAACAACTGCATCAGAAATTTGCATTAGTGATCAAAGTTCCATTCCCAAGTGTGCGTTAAGTCAAGAACTACTTGCATATTGAAAGTTTATAAGAGAAATGGAATGCATCAAATTATTATTGCAGCCATTTTATTTGATTTAATACATCTGTCAAAATAATTTACACCACTGGAGCTATCTTATATTTATTGCTCTGAAAGAGGTCTCTGCACTTTTAAATAACTTCTATGGAAATGTGTATGGCTGTTGCTAGTATTTGTTTATGGGTACTACAGTTAGTTGCATAAGAGGTTTGTTTTGAGTTTTCTGTCAAAGCAGTTTGTCTCTTTGTAACAATAATTAAAAATAAGAGTATTTAATCATACATGGTTGCATCTTAAGGCTTCTGTTTGTGAATGCTATAAAAACACTTCTCCCCAGGCGAAGTTGATTCTCATTCTTTTATAATAAATGGTAGGGAGAAGAAAAAGGCAGAATGCCTCTTAAGAGAATAATAGTTTCTCTTTGCACACCAAAAGTAGATTGAAGCAATTAGAAGTTAGTCATTTGACAATTAACTATTGACTCTTGAGCAAAATCAGGTGCTAAGAGAAGTGCATAATATCAGATTGTGTTTTCATATTTTTTAAGTTTTTCCTGTCATATGAGGCACTTTGTTTCCATATGTGATTCTTACATGGTATGTTACAAGTACGATTGGGTATGCTTTGCAATCTATATGCATGCTTGTAATACCATGTAACAGTAGATGAACATAAATAATATCCTGTTAAATTAGAGTCCTGTTCCATCTTGTCCAGCAGTTGGTTCTCTCAGTGGTCAGCCAACTGCCCAAGAAAGCCTACTTGTCTCCCAGCAGGTGGCCCTCAGAGGCAGTCACATTGCCATCAAGGCTAATAGCCATTGATCCTCACAACTTCCTTGAAATTGGTTCAATCTTTTTTTTGAAGCCAGCCAAAATGGTAGCCAGCACCACATTCTTGTGGTAAAAGTATATGTCTTGACGGATGCTTCTGTGTTTTGAGCACATTTGATCTCTAATGCAGTAGGTAAATATAGCAAATCCACTATTGGATATTGCTATTCTTCGTGTGTTCACCAGGACTAGCATGGCCAGATGTGTGCTAGAAATAGAAATAGAAAGAGATAATACAATACAGAGCTTTATAATTCTGTAAAAAAAATTCAGCCTTTTCAGTTTGAACTGTTTCATGCTTATCTAACATAAGCTTTGTGTGTATGTGTGTGTGTGTGTGTGTGTGTGTGTATCTATCTATATCTATCTATCTATCTATCTATCTATCTATCTATCTATCTATCTATCTATCTATCTATCTATGGCATTCAGCTTTGTTCGGGTATTTTCCCACGTCATTGTAGTTGTGCTTTTAAAGTTGTAGCGTTTCGGCAGAATCTCATCTGCCATCATCAGGCTTCTGTATAGTGTTCATCTGGTATACATATATAGGTAGGTAGGTAGGTAGGTAGGTAGGTATATATATATAGACAGTTACCTATGTTCTGTGAAATTCCCCGATCCTGGCAAATAGTCCTATTTGGCCAACCCAGTTAGGGTAGGTTTCCAAAAGAACTACTTGCTTCCTTTGATTTTAATTGAAATATTTTAGTAATATATACTCCTTCTGTTTTTTATTGTTTTACTGTCATTCACATTAGTTAAACTGAATTAATATGGTATATTTCTCCCAGCAGCATACATTTGAAATGCGTCTTGATAATTGATCTAGTATTTTTAAATTTCACAGGAAGAATCCTATACATTTCCAGCAGTTTAGTCACCCTGGTGATAGTGATTATCAAGACTTAGATGCTTTAACTCAGGTTGATGATGATAGGCCTGAATGTCCTTATGGAACAGCTTGTTACAGGTAAGAATGATCATTTCAAATAATTTCAGAGTTTGGATGATAAATGTTTCATTTGCATGGTATGTCACTTTCTCCTGATTGACTCAAACATAGCACATATACAGGTAACCTTGACAACAGTTAGATTAGTAACTATTCAAAGTTACAGCAGCACTGAAAAATGTGACATATGACCACTTTTCACAGTTATGACTTTGCAGCATCCCAATGGTCATATGATCAAAATTCAGATGGTTGACAATTGATTCATATTTATGAGCGTTGCTGTATCCCAAGGTCATGTGATAATCTTTTGTGACCTTCTCACAAGCAAAGTCAATGGGGAAGCCAGATTTACTTAACAGTTGGTTTACTAACTTATCAACTGCAGTGATTCACTTAATAACTGTGGCAAGAAAGGTCACAAAATGGGGCAAACTCACTTAACTCACAATTGGACTCAATTGTGGTTGTAGGTTGTGGACTACCTGTATGTATTGAAATCATGTAGACCCAACTTTTTACCTGAATAAACATTACGTATGATTATCTAAGTTGTTATTAAAGATTCACTACAACCCCAAAAATAAAATCTAAAATACAAGATTTAAAATCACAGAAAAAAATACCAAAGCAAAAAGCAGTGAAGACCATTCACCCAACCTGTTGCTGGAAGGGACTATAACAGTTGCAGTCAAATACTGCCTGAGTGAATCTAACTAGACACAAGGGAGAGCCTTGTAAGAGCCTAGCTTATGACAATAAGAGTAGTGAGAAAGGCTTATTTCTCCATCCTTATTGCATTTTCCAGTTGTTGGCCAGTGGCCCTATTCAGGGCAACCCAATCCCTTCTGAGCTAGGTTGGATTGATGGAGCATCTTCAAGGTCCCTGTTAGATATAACAGACCTGATAGATATAATAGCTTAAGTGATTTGTCCAAGAAGACTTTTGCTATATATTCCAATTTTGTTGGTTGTAAGTCCTATCTTTAATTTATAGTTTACAGCAAAAAATTACATTTTAGAAAGAATCTGGGTGGGCCATATTTTAACAGCATAAGTTCTATAGAGTACATTTTTTAGCAGCGCATATTACAAATGACAATTATCCAGTATTTTTTATTAAACAGCTGATTAACTCCTATTCAAAGCTTTTTTAAAACTTGATTTTATATTGTGGCTTTTTTATATGACATATCTGGGATGATGCTCTTTTACAAAACAATGATGGAAATTTCTAAAACTTTGGAATATTTTAGCTGAATGTTCACCCTTTGAGCATGTGCTACTGGATCAGAGGTGATATTCAGCAGGTTCTAACCAGTTCTGGAGAACCAGTAGGGGAAATTTTGAGTAGTTTGGAGAACCAGCAAATACCACCTCTGACTGGGAATTTTACAGTATCCTTCCCCTGCCACGCTCACTAAGCCATGCCCACAGAACCGGTAGTAAAAAAATGTGAATCCCACCACTGTACTGGATAGAATTTTTGTCTGTCCCTTAAGTTTTCTTTTGATTTCCATATCAGCTATACCATCTGGATTCTTCTTTTTGTTTGCCATTTTTGTCTTTGTTGTCATGCAGAATTTGTTGGTTTTTATCTTTGGAAGATTAACTTTTTGTTGACTTTTCTGCAGAGGAAATTTTGTTACACTGAGGTGCCTATGGCAACAAGAATGCCTTTCAGAAAGAGGGTCTGAGAATTTTCCACCACTACTGAGCATCCATTTTGCTTCATTGATTTAGCAGAAAGACACAGCCAAGGCTTTTGTTCATTACCAGTAGCTCACTAAAAAGGTCACAGTAGATTGTTCCTCTAAATTCCCAACATAGGAAATAAGTCTTATTGTGATTTCAGCAGCTCGGGATTCCATAATGATAATTTCAGTACAAAAGTCATCTAACTGACTTTCTGTCATGACTCTCAGCAGAATTGGGTTTAATGGTTCAAGCTTCAGTAGATGGCATTCAACCATCCACACTGGGCAAATCTACTGTTCTTCCCTCAAAGTTGAACAGTAAATCAAACTCACCACCCCCACTCCCTGCAAATGTACTACATACCTTGCCAGCTAAGAAAAAGAAATATATATATATATCCATTGCTTTATTTGTGGAGCCTCCAATAATGCCAAGAATCAAGGGAGAACAGTTACTTCCCTTGCATTCTGAGCACACTATTTTGGTTGCAGGCCCCTAAAAAGACTAACATATTGCAATCTCTCCCCTCCCCCCAATTATTCTTCAAGGAGGAATCTTAGGCATAGGAACCTATGATAGATTGAGAAATATTTGAAACCTTTATCAGTAAAAACGGAACTGGCTAAAGTTGCCACTCCACTAGAAAATGAATGGATCAAAAGTTATTTTTTCAAAATGAGAAAATCATATTTCTAGTATGATTGTAATTGATTTGCTTCCCTTTAAAACAAAGATGAAGAATTATTTGCTTTGATTTTGATTTTTGTTTTCATTTGAAATTTCAGATGATTAGATGGAAACCCCAGTTTTATCTTCTCTAACTCTTTCTCTTGCAGAAAAAATCCACAGCACAAGTTGGAATATAAACACACAGCTCCTCCAGGTAAAGTGCTTTTATCCTAATGTATATGGAGAATACATTTTTCTTAATGTAACTAATGAGGTAAATTACTACCTGTGCTGAGGTAGTACTATGGAAGTGTTGTTGCTCATATAGTATAGTGCAATTCTGCTAGAATGGGAATTGATATGATTTTGGAAATTCTAACATTTCTTATTATAGTTCAGGTAGTTTGATTTGGCTGTTGTCTATAAATTAAACAAAAACAATGTTGCTTATTAAAACTACACTAATATAACACATTACAATATATTTTAGTAAAATTAACAGATATTAAAGATTGAACAGAAGTGTCATTTGAACCAAGTTTGGTGAGTATTTTGCAAATCTCAGATTACTTGCCAGCTAACAAAAGGTTTCTCTTCTGAGCTACCATACATTTGAATTACTGGAAGCACTTTTAGGTCCAATGGTTAAGCCAAACAAAAAGAATTCATGGCAAAATTGTTAATTTTTCCATCCAGCAGAATATTAAATCAAGCAGATTTAAGGACTTATCCATAAGTTGGCAGAAGCTATTAATTAAGCAATTGGCAAGTGAGAAGGATAAGATGGCCAGTCACAATAAGAGTGGAGAATTATATTTAAAATATTTTGAATTTTGTTGTCAAGGATGAATTTCTTCAGGTTTAACCAAACTTTCTTAGCATGAAATGAGGTAGCTGTTAAGTTGTAAAATTTAAAGCTACTATAGATTACTAACTACATTCCATAATGACATAAATTCACAAAGTTAAAGAACTCAGGCAACTGTGAATGAAAACTAATATAAGCCAAAAATTCAGGTGGCAAAGCAGTATGCGAGCCTCTACAAAAATTAAACCAGATTCTAATCTTAATGTGGAATTAGATATTCATCAGGGAAATTGCAGCAGGGATTTAAAAAATTAAACTGGACAGTTTTGATGGAATTGAATTATGGTGCTAGCACATTTGCACTTCATATAAAATATCACCAATATATTAAATATAATTATACACAGAGATTTTATTATTCTTGTTACTGGAGTAAAACTATTGCAGTATCAATATATAAAAAAGGAGCTTGCTGTATATGGTAAGAAAGATACAGGGGCAACTTTAGCAGGTAGGGGGAAGGGAATAAAAAGATGGTGGGCATGGCTATCTTTTTAAAATGTGGGATGAGATACATGGAAAAGGGGTAGGGCTTTGATGAAGTAGTTTTCATTGCCAGGGTACTTTTTTTTAGTAGCCCTATCTGTGTGGTTGCTATGACAAGCTATATTCCAGTCATGTCCATAGAAATAGCTTGAAAATAATAAAGTATAGACTTGCCATGGCAGAGCAGAGTATTTCACACTCTTAATCTCAATAAAAAACAGTGTGAAACAACGATGCCTCTCCTTTTTGCCACAAATCTTAACAAAATTTGAATAACACAGTCTCCTAGTACTAATAGGCAAAAAGATCCGCTTTGGTTCTTTCATTCTAAAAATACTTCAATCTCCTTTACAACTTAAGTTGGCCTGAGATGAAGTCTTCAAGCTCTTACCCTCTAAAGTACAGAGGAACAACTAGTTGTCAACTGTGATAAAAAGAAAACAATCGTTTTCTCCCAAAGTCCTGTCATCTGCTGTTTCCTATAAAAAAAATCAACTGTGTTAGTATCAATTTTAAGTACTTAACTATTTGCATATTTCTTTTCAAGTATGAACAGTCAAGTTCATCCAGGCCAAGAGCTGTCATCGCTTCCCATGGCTTGAATGCTATCTTTCAGTGTGCCAATTGCAAAGTAATGTTTATATCCCAGCTCCAACTTCTTACTTTATAGTCACATGCATTTCATATATTGCATAACGGAAATTTGTCCTTTGCCTGATTTGCTTCTTTGTAAAGTGTTTAGAATGCACACTTTTATTGGCCAAAAAATCCTGAAACTGGAAGAGCCCTGATACAGAACATGTTTGGCTATTCTGTGAACCAAAATAAATAAAGAAGTTATAAAGCCTCTTCCTGCGATTTGGTGGCAATATGAGAATAGTTAAAACTCCTCTAAAGAAGTGCAGATAAGTAGGAGAATTTTAACAGGTGTTCCCTTTCACTTTTCCGTTTTAATAAAATTCATAGCGGTTTGGGTTGTTTTATTGGTAATAATTTCTTTTTCTTTTCTCTAGAATCTGAAAGAAGGCAGACAAGATCAAAAATTACAAGAAAAGGTGAGACATTTTTACATTTTAAAAAAGCACTGCTCTAAATACACAGAGGAATTCAGTAATTAGCTTTGGTCACCATCCTACCCAGATAAATTAGTATAAAAATTACTAAAGCCATCATTATAAAACAAAGATAAAAATGCTTTGAGGGGAAGTCCCAGTTTGTTTATGTAGGTGACACTGTTCACAGGCCCTATAAAATTAGAAAGAAAGCGCATTTTTCTCAATATCCTATTGATATGGACGTGCTAGATATATATACTTTGTACAGGCAGTCCTTAACTTACATTTGTTTAGTGATCGAAGTTACAACACACTGAAAAAAGTGACTTATGACTGTTTTTCACACATAACGTTATATGATCTCATGATCAAACTAGGAGCACTTGGCAACTGGCTAAATTTATGACAGGTATACTGTCCCAAGATCATGGAATCACCATTTGTAACCAGATCAACTAGCTTCTGACAAGCAAAGTCAATGGGGAATTCATTTAACAGCCACATGATTCATTTAACAACTGCAGTGATTCAGTTATCTGTAGCAGAAAGGACCATAAAATGTGGCAAAACTCACTCCATAACTAAATGCTGGGCTTGATTGTGGTCATAAGTGGAGGACTAACCTGTATACCCTTAAAGAAGTTCCCCTTATGTGAATAATGACATATTTTAATCTGTTCATGGAGATCAACGTTTCTGTAAGTATACCAATTCTCTTAGGTAAAAAGAGATTAATTGTAATGCTTGGATTTGACATTTGGTTTCTTTTGTAAGCAGTTTGAGCCATAATATAAAATAGTGACCTTTTTATATACAGTATGTTTCTTGTGGCTTTGTAGACTAAGCTGTGGAACATCTTATCAGTTATAGAAATGACCTCTAATGTATCCAAATATCTATAATACATACTTTTTAGAGTAACTTGCTATTTGGAAACCAAATTACCAATAGCATTTTTATTGCATACATTTATTGGGAAAGGAAGAACTGAGAATTTGTATTTTCCCCCAAACATCTTTAGCATTGATGGCACACATGATATTAATTTATAAAATTTATTTACTTAACTGAGGCTGAGAAAGATGAGAATTAACTTAAAAGTTTTATGGTAAGAGTGAACAAATGTTTTCTAGAAGTGGGACAAACTTTTGGAAATTTGCTTATTCTGATAACTGAAAAAGTTCCATGTTTCCCTGAAAATAAGATTCTGTCTTATATACACTGCTTAAAAAAATAAAGGGAACACAAAAATAAGACATCCTAGATCTGAATGAATGAAATATTCTTATTAAATACTTTGTTCATTACATAGTTGAATGTGCTGACAACAAAATCACACAAAAATTATCAATGGAAATCAAATTTAGCAACCCATGGAGGTCTGGATTTGGAGTTACACTCAAAATGAAAGTGGAAAAAAACACTACAGGCTGATCCAACTTTGATGTAATGTCCTTAAAACAAGTCAAAATGAGGCTCAGTAGTGTGTGTGGCCTCCACGTGCCTGTATGACCTCCCTACAATGCCTGGGCATGCTCCTGATGAGGTGGCGGATGGTCTCCTGAGGGATCTCCTCCCACACCTGGACTAAAGCATCCCTCAACTCCTGGGCAGTCTGTGGTGCAATGTGGTGTTGGTGGATGGAGTGAAACATGATGTCCCAGATGTGCTCATTTGGATTCAGGTCTGGGGAACGGGCGGGCCAGTCCACAGCATCAATGCCTTCGTCTTGCAGGAACTGATGACACACTCCAGCCACATGAGGTCTAGCATTGTCTTGCATTAGGAGGAACCCAGGGCCAACCGCACCAACATATGATCTCAAAAGGGGTCTGAGTATCTCAGATATCTCATCTCAGTACCTAATGGCAGTCAGGCTACCTCTGGCGAGCACATGGAGGGCTAAAGAAATGCCACCCTACACAATTACTGACCCACTGCCAAACTGGTCATGCTGGAAGATGTTGCAGGCAGCAGAACGTTCTTCATGGAATCTCGAGACCCTGTCACGTCCGTCACATGTGCTCAGTGTGAACCAGCTTTCATCTGTGAAGAGCACAGGGCGCCGGTGGCGAATTTGCCAATCTTGGTGTTCTCTGGCAAATACCAATACGTTTGTGTAAGCACAACCCCCATCTGTGGACGTCGGGCCCTCATACCACCCTCATGGAGGTCTTTTTCTGACCATTTGAGCAGCCACATGCACATTTGTGGTCCACTGGAGGTCATTTTGCAGGGCTCTGGCAGTGCTCCTCCTGTCTCTCCTTGCACAAAGGCAGAGGTAGTGGTCCTGATTCTGGATTGTTGCCCTCCTACGGCCTCTTCCACGTCTCCTGATGTACTGGCCTATCTCCTGGTAGCGCCTCCATGCTCTGGACACTATGTTGACAACACAGCAAATCTTCTTGCCACAGCTCGCATTGATGTGCCATCCTGGATGAGCTGCACTATCTGAGCCACTTGTGTGGGTTGTAGACTCCGTCTCATGCTACCACTAGAGTGAAAGCACCGCCAGCATTCAAAAGTGACCAAACCATCAGCCAGAAAGCATAGGAACTGAGAAGTGGTCTGTGGTCACCACCTGCAGAACCACTCCTTCATTGGGGATGTCTTGCTAACTGCCTCTGCTTTCCATCTGTTGTCTATTCAATTTGCACAACAGCATGTGAAATTGATTGTCAATCACTGTTGCTACCAAAGTGGACAGTTTGATTTCACAAAAGTGTGATTGACTTGGAATTACATTGTGTTGTTTAAGTGTTTCCTTTATTTTTTTGAGCAGTGTATATATTTTTGCTACCAAAAAAGGCACCAGGTCTTATTTTGGGGGGATGTCGTCCAAGGATGGGATCTGACTGGTATAACTACCAGTTCTGTCTATTAGTATCACTCAAGTGCAATTTACCACCTGCTGAACTGTCCGGACAGCTGAGCAGTGCTGCGTGCAAGTGCGCAGTGGTTGGAAAAGCCCTTTTTTTCCTGCTTTTTCAACTGCAGCTGTGTCGCGCAAAGCAGCTGCAGTTGAAAAAGCAGGAAATAAAGGTCAGGTAAGAGCCCGGGTGGGTGGGCGGGCCACAACAGCAGCAGACATAGAACCAGTTCTATGTCTGCTGCTCTTCGGAGCAACTGGTTCTACAGAGGTGGACAGAACCGGTAGAATCCCACCCCTGATGTCATCTACTGACTAACCTTTTCACTGTCAGGGCCCTTTAGGAACTTCTGCAGCCGGCAATGCTTTCCTGAAGGCCTTTGCAGCTGATAACAGCTCCGGATCGATCTGTTATTAGCTACAGAGGCCTTCAGGAAAGTCTTGCCAGCCTTACTAGCTGCAGAAGAAGTGGGCTGGCAAGGCAGGTGTTGGGGTGCACGAGGCCTGGCTACAACTGTCCAAAGGTAAATAGTAGGCAGCTCCACCACCCCCATCCCCACCCTGGCTTAATTTTTACCCGTCCACTTTAGAGTGGGCAGGATCTTAATTAGGGCTTATTTGGGGGGTAGGGCTTATATTGGGCGCACGTGTAAAAATCAAGCTTGGACTTACTTTCAGGGTAGGTCTTATTTTCAGGGAAACGGTTGTTGTGTGACATAATCAGGTCACCGTACGCTTGCTGCTAATTTTTTTAAACCTGGACCCATGACTTAATCACATAATTTACTTTCAAGGGCATGATTTTTAGAAAGAGAACTACTGATGTACTAGAGAAATAATTACCATAGCAAATTGAATTCTGGTTACATCAGGCTACAAATACAAGTAGCATGTTTCCTAGGAAAAAAACCAAGTAACTTTGGATCACTGTTCAAAGGAGAGCATTCATATAAGATGTTAAGTCTGCAACAGAGATGAAAACAAAGGATTTACAGAAATTGAGTTTTTATTTTATTATTATTATTATTATTATCATTATCATTATCATTATCATTATTATTTTAAAGTGCAGTATATTAGCAATTCAATAGTTAGCTGTTGAAGGTGCTTAAAAGAAGTAATGTTCAAATACAGCTAGATAAGAAGGAAAGAGACAAAACTGACTATATGAAATTATTTGTTTCACTCTGCAGAGGGAAGGAAGGGGACAGTTGCTCTTGAAATTGTAAAGCAGGCAAGAAGAGGAAAGAAGATTATGCTTCTTTATATTCCATTTAAATACTGGTACTGTAAAGGAAGCAATGATCCAGTGGTGAGGAGAGAGGAAGCCAGACTTATGAAAGGATAGAGAGGGCAGAAAACGTAACAGGAGTGAAAGAGGTCTTGATTACATTAGAATGCAACAAAGAGGACTTGGGGTTTTTCATCATCCGGCATACAAAATGTTCTCTTTTCTAAGATAGTAGAAGATGTAATCACATTCTGTCCCCAATTGCCTGTTCTTGCCAACTATATCGTTTCAGGCAAAATGAAGAATGAAAAATAAAATGGGATTACTGGAGCAAAATTGTGATCAGCTCACTCACTTGTCTGTTGCTTCCTAGTGGTTTTTTTTTTTTTTTGAAGGTTAAAGCTTATCAAAAGCTAGAACTTATGTTTGCACTTCACATTGTCATTTTCAAATATTCTTGGAAGAACTATGTGACCTGGCTAAAGTCTCTCTGCAGTCCTGGCTCAGTAGTTTTGTATTATATATTGTGATACAGGAAATTGAAAAGGCTATTCTTAGGAATGCTGCAAAGTTTTCATTCCAGGATATCTGATTTATATGTATCTTTAGAGAAAAAAAAATCTAAATTCATATCGACACACTTGGGAAATGGAATCATTTTTGTATATACGGTAGACCTCGACTTATGACCACAATTGAGCCCAAAATTTATCTTGCTAAGTGAGACATTTGTTAAGTGAGTTTTGCCCCATTTTACGACTTTACTTGCCACAATAGCTAAGTGAATTATTGCAGTTGTTCAGTTAGCAACCACGGTAGTTAAGTGAATCTGGCTTCCCCATTGACTTTGCTTGTCAGAAGGTTGCAAAAGCCGCTTCAACCATCATAAATATGAACCTGTTGCCAAGGAGCTGAATTTTGATCACATGACCAAAGGGATGCACTTATTTTAGTGCCGTTGTTTGAACAGTCACTAAATGAACTGTTGTAAGTTGAGAACTAGTTATATAGTAATTCTTTTTTTTTTTCCAGGAGAGCCTTAGGAAAGAAAACTAAACTGACAAAAAAATTAAAAATAGCTTTGACTAACCCAGAATAGTACAATATATACATATCTTGAGGCTTCTCATCTAAATGAGTTTTTTTCTAAATATGGTGATAATATCCCATCTATTACATTGAATGTGTAAAGTCTCAATATCTTTAGTACTGTGCAACGTTATTTTGTTTCAGTAGTTTGCAAATTTCTGATTTGTAAACTGGAACTTGAAACCAAAGACACTGAGATTAAAATATGCTTTTAAGCCAATAATTTCTAAAAATACAAATCTCCAGATTTTCCATCAGTTATTATTGTTAAAATGCCTGTTAAGTCTTTAAAAGAATACTATAAGTCCTCACTACTACTTCTCCGGAAGAGTAAAATTTGTCTATATGCTATTAAGGAATGCTAGCAAGAAATACTGGCTGTGTGAATATTTGACTCAGAAAAAAAAAGTTAAAATGGGTTTTAGTTGATGTAATGATATTAGTTAAATATTTATTTATTGCCTAGGCCAAAAGAAATCAGAGAGGAATTTGGTGGCCATCAATGTGGAATAGTGACAATCAATTCAATTAGCATTTGTGCACAAAAATGGATTTTCAAGTTTATTGAGAAATTGGGATAAGATCAAATAGTCTTTCCAAATCAGAATTTGAGTACTTTGCATGGAAGAACATTAAAGCTGGAGCGATTCCATTATCAAATAAGATAAGATACCAGTGGACTTGTTCTCTTGTTTCAATAAACAGATTGAAGAGGCAAGGCTCCATCAGTTTAACTGTACCATATTTTCATGCAATTTCTAATAACTTTTTCTCACCTGTCCAAATTGTGTTTCCATATTGGTATTACTCTCATTGCAACCCAAGGCTTTAATTTTTTATTGTTGAAAATTATATAGTAAGAAGTATTCTTGCGGATGAGAGTGATGATGATGGTGAACCAAACGAATACAACTTGAACGACAGTTTTATAGATGATGACGAGGAGGAAGATTGTGATCCTACTGATGAAGATTCTGATTGGGAACCAGATTGTCAAGATGATGATGAAGATACGGACATGCTTCTCAAAGAAGCACATGATTTTGTTAAAACCAAGAACTAACTGCATTCAAATATTTTGATAGAGTTTATAATGCATCATGAAACATGTATCCCATTAGGTAATGTCACTTTTTAAATAGTGACGTACTTTAATTTTACTTCATAAAATTGGATTATATATGTACATTTTCAAATTTTAATGACTCCACAGCTTGTGAAAAAATCTTACATGTTAGGGAGTACACAAGATTTCTGGATTAATATTTTTGTAGTGATAGGTATGGCTTTGTGATTTAAAATTATGAGTGCTTTCCTGAACTTTGTATTAACACATTTCATTGCACATATGGATAAATAATAACTCCATATTGGTAATGCACTGATTTGGATTTAATTTCTTTATTCTGTCAGACTGATAATAAAACTGTAAATAGTAACTGCATTTTCTTGTAATATGCTGTTTAACATTACAAGTGGTATTATTTCTATTTGAGAAGAAAGTATATAAATTTATTCTGAAAGACAATTCAATCTCTCTTCATTATTTTAATTTTTCTGAAGCAATGTTTGAACTATTACATTCTGTTGGCTGAAGCTGAAACAAATCCTAATTTGATCAACTCAACACTGCAACATAAAATGTCTGAATTGCACTTTGAATCTGTTGTATGCAGATAATAAGTATGAAGATCTGATTTTTCAAGAAAAGATTCCATCTGTCATTATTCCTGGGCAAAAGCAGTCAACTCTGGCAGACACTAGTATCCAAAGTGCAGTATTTTCCTAAAATGTCAGAACTGTATTGCAAGACCTTTACAGTTACAAATCTTAGCTTTTAAGAGCTGGGAGTCAATAGCTCTTCATGTCTTGTATTAAACCGTAGTATGATTTGTATGGTTGGGCAGTTCATGTTGTGCAAATCCAGCATTTCTAGACTTTGTGGCTTAGAGTAAGGTGGGAATCTAGCCAGTGTTCCATGGTCTGTTTCCAAGTCACAAAAATAATACAGCAAGCTTTATTTGAGCTTTATTTTCAGAGCTTTTAATAGTGGTTTTAAGAGGTATGGACAGTTTATTTTTTATTTAACTTATGAATAAAATATTATTATAGGTTATTCTCCTACTCCCATCCCCAATTATAAAACATTATAAGGGTGGGGACAGTTCCATTTGTACCTCTTGAAAGAATAAAAGAAAAAAGAAAAATAACATAGTAATATAGGAGAGGAGCAAATAAAACAACAGTGGACTTATATAGGAAGGAAGGGGTCAGAAATATAAGAGGTACAATTAGAAAATTAAAGTTGCTCCATAATATGTTGCCCATTTTAATTGGCTGAGACAAATCAGCATTAATTGACAGTTTTTATCAGCTTATTCAATATTATTTAGGACTTAGGGAAATTTGAATTTGAGCAAGATTTTTAATCTAATCTTTTGTTAGAGGATTCACTTTTTATAACAGGTTCCAGGTACATTAATCTTTTATCCTCATTGAAAATACTTTTTTTTTTATTGTAAGAAAGGCCTTTAATTGTGTTGAGTCAAGCTGTGGAACTGCCTTTGGAAAATAGGAATCCCAAAACATCTTGTACAAAACCCATCTACAAGAGAGGAACTTACAGGATAGATATATGACAAAATAGCCTGGCTACAGGTTTGGCCAGTCAATCTCTCTTACCCCAACCCCTTACAGGGTTGTTGAATGGAGAAAGTAGGAGGAAGGAGTATCAGATATATTTGCCACCTTGCAATATAAAAATACTAGACATGGGATTTAAAAAAAATCTAAAATAACAAAAAAATTGAGGCAAGGCAATCTTCGACTATGACCATTTGAAGTTCGAATGGCACTTACTGGTCATAGGGTGCCAATTTTCCTTTAAATTCTAATTTTGAATAATTAATTCAAATTAATAGTTATTAGACTAATAATCTTTTGCCTAATATTTTAAATTCATTTTTTTGCTCACATTTTTTACAAATGGGGTCCAGAAGCACCAGAATTTGCTATGGAAAGTTTAAAATAGAGGTTTTATTTACTTAAATAGTTTATTCTGTTTACCTTTGCTTGTCCCTTGTTATACTACTACATCAAAGAAAATATAGTGTGCTTAGCAGTCTTGGTATTACAAAATAAACTTTAAAATTTTCATTTTCTTGATTTAAAATAGACCGCTTTACAATAGAAGTTGTACTCAGATTGATGCAAACTAATGAAAATCTCTTAAACTCATCAGGATCTTCTTACAAGCAAAGTAACTCTAGGATATTATGTAAGAATTGAGTCAAAAGCATCATGAAAAATTTGTAGACCACACATTTTGGGCCATTTTATGAAAGACTCATTAGGGAAACCTTATTAAAGTAAAAATGTTTATTAGATCCATTCACAGCACCACAGGAATTCTGATCTGGGTCTCTCCTTGCCTTTGTACAAGGCTAGTAGAGAAACATTGGCTACTTTGACAACTTTGAAGCGAACTCCAGGAATGTCTCCAACGGCATGATCCCTCCAACCGAAGCCAGCAACCAGGACTTCATCTTTCTCCTCAATAAAATTCAAACAGCAATCATTGGGAACAAAAGCTGTAATTTTCTTGCCATTCTTGATAAGCTGAACTCAAACACACTTCCTAATGGCAGAATTTCTATGGTTCTATATGGGCATTTGAAGAATCATTTAATTTCTCATAAAATATTTCTGAGTAATATATAATGTGGTACATAGCAATAGCACTTAGACTTATATACCACTTCACAGTGTTTTACAGCCCTCTCTAAGCAGGTTACAGAGTCAGCATATTGACCCCAACAATCTGGGTCCTCATTTTAACGACTTCGGAAGGATGGAAGGCTCAGTCAATCTTGAGCCGATGAGACTCGAACTGCTAAATTGAAGGCAGCCAGCAGTCATAGAAAATGTTTCTTAACTAGGAAATTATATGCAAAATCAGAAATTAATAACAAAACTGCAGTTCTTAAACCTAATAGAAAAACTATCAATGTGATGTGACTGGAATAAAAGTCAGTATGGTGTATTTGCAATTCCTAGAAATCTCATTCAGCTCAAGTCATTTTGAAATGTTCAATATGGCTGCACCTGATGGTTTGCTACTATATGAGTTACTATATGTAGTATTTTCAGCAGAAAGAAAAATGAAGCCCCAATTTTTTAAATAAATGAATGGGTGTGTCTGAACATGTGGAAAGTAAAATCTGCCTGTTCCAATAGACAGTTTTATTTTACACAGTGAAATATCAAAGGCTCCTTCTGCCAAACAAAGTTATGTGATAGGAACTATATTTGTAATATGAAGGAATAAAAAAGACATCTTAAAATACAGTGAATCTCATCACATCTCATATTAATTACTGAATGGAAATCTAGCTGTGTGTTCATGCCAGAAAATGGGATTTAGTTCAATTTTTCTCAGTGTAGAACATTACGCTAAGATAAAGGAATAAAAATTCAGCCTCTAAGTATTTCAAACTATTATTGAGACAATTAACATTAACTGATCAACTGCCATTTATCAAAAAAGATAAAATGATATCGTGTAATGAAATAAATTAGGATGGAATTTTCTGGTTTATCTATAAAGCATAAGTGTCTGTACATCAGGCTCATATTCACTGCCTAATTAACTCAAAATATCTATTTTCAACATTTCTAATGAGGCAACTCTACAACATTCCTTTCAAACAGATGTCTCCTCATGGAATAATTTGTCTTAAATTCCAAAATATCTAGGGTGCAGAATGAATAAGGATTAACTAGGCAGAAAGGAAAGATGGGAGCTAAAACTGTTGTTTATGTGATAGAATTAGCACATACAATTTCATTGTGTAAATGTGTTTTAAAATGGCTGCCAGTAATTCAAAGTTGGGTCAGAACTGACTGTGTCCATTTAGAGGAGGGATTTTCACACTTTTCATTTTACAGAACCTGTTTGCTAAAAACAAAAGTCCCCAGGACCATTATTTAAGAAAGGTGAGGGTTCTGAAAGTTAGCTAATAAGCCTTCCTCTTTCAACTATATCTTAGTGGCTAAAAGAAAAAAAGTCTCTGCAAAGGTCTGATGGAGACAAAACCCTTTCTACAAAGGACTAAATTCTTGTCCCTTGTGGAGAAATTATTCTTAAGAGTTCCTTTAAAAAACTCTTAGTTTTCTCTCTCTTAGTTCCTTGCAGAGAATTCCTCTCCCCCTAATTCCATGGAATCCATCCAAGATCTTGTGGATCCCCAGGTTTTATGGGACCCAATGTGAAAACCCCCATATTAGAAGACCATGTCATAAGACCTGGAAACATACAGCTATTATACTTTTTGGAAAGGTGCCCTGAACTTAGGTATGGTGAGAATTAACTTTATTGTCAGATCAATTAATTAATTTGGCAGTTTTAATATCTTTTGCAGGAGGGCATTGTTCAATTCACCAGCTTTATGCTGAGAGTGTCAGTTTTGGGAAAGTTTTATCTGAAAGAATAGGAGCAATATCACTCACAGATAAATGGGTCATAGATTGTCTATCAATTCTTCCTTGCTTGGTTAGTTTTATATAATTAAGCAAAAGTATTCCAAGACAAAAGAAATATATACTTGACTCTTAATATTCCTACAGATAACATTGCTATCTATCAGCTGTTAATTGCAGTGTTAATCTTCATTGTATCGTGGGAGCTAAAATGCATTTGCAGTGAAGCCTGGAACTTGACTTTGGTGTCCAGTGAAGCCTGGAGCTTGACCTAATATAGAACATAAATTTTAATTTTCCCTCCCATCTTCTGCTCCACAACAGTCATCATTTATTAAGGAGTGTTGGCTTTCAGTTGCACTTTTTGTTTGAGTTCTTTTAGAGGAAAGTGTGATTTCTTTTATTAAGAGGTAATTACTCTTAGCACATAATCTGAGCACATTTTCTCTTTCCCAAGATAAGAGCAAATCTGGTTTTGTAATATTGATTTCTCTGGTGTCACTCTGTTATTAATACTGATAGCAGCTGAATTTCCTGATGCTTCCAACCACGACTCCCTGTACTCTCTTTCCTCCTGTGCTTTTCCATGAATTTCTATAGCACGGAAACAAGTGACCAACAGAATTGCTGTGATCAATTTCCACATTCGGTAATAGTCAGTTCTACTGGAGCAAATCACAACTACCAATTTGTTATTGGGTAGGGTGATCTGTCAAGATGCCTTCAGCTAACTGATGTACTTTTTTTTAAAAAAGAAATCTGCTCATTGCTAGATTGGCAGAGTTTGGGGAATAAGGGAGCTGAAGCAACCTATAGTATGCACACAGTGTCCTCAAACTACAAATCCTTTAATCTTTTTCCTTGGTTTTCCTTTTTCTACTTTTGAGCAGGATTTCTTGGTTTTGTCTCATTTTGGCTGTGTTAGCAGAAAAATGTTCTTCTTAAAACTGTCACAAAGAACCCCACATTTTGTCTCTTCAACCCTTTTTGTCTTCATAATACTTTTCACAACTTTATTTAAGTGAAATAGATGCTCCATTAAAATGTTTCTTCAGTTTTGGGAAAAACTAGAAATAGCATAGTGCCAAGTCTGAACTCTATAGCAGGAGTGTCAAACTCAAGGCCCAGAGCCGGATTAGGCCCACTGGGTGCTTAGATCTGGCCTGTGGGGCTGCTCTGGAAATAGTGAAGGACTGGCTTGTGGTACCTCTGCCAGTGAAAAGTGA